GCACAACCTGATACGCTTTACAATCAATTGCTTGGGTCTCTGTAATTTTTGTTTGGAACAGCTACTGTTTGATGAAAACAAGTTTTATGAAAATCGTTTTTTTTTTCAAATGATTCAGTTTGTCAAGAAAACCTTTCCTGTCGATTTTAGAAAAAAATTGTCTTAAATGGAATGATTATCGAGTCTTCTGTCTGCTTGCATAATCGCCTTATCTTTTTCTACCTTACCCCTTTTCCTACAGCCTTCAAAAAATTGTGTTGGAAGAATTTTTGACCCAGTTTTGGAAATTTTTTATTTTCTGGAAAACAACCCTCACAAATCTAAGATCCTTGGCCCAGTCGAAAGCGAGGGTTGTGAGAATCTCCCCTGAATAAGCGCCCGGCGGCAAAAATTTTTTTACTCGAACTTCCGATACTTTGACTGCTTTTTGAAACTGTCTTGTCTCAAAAACAACTCTCCCAAATCAGAGATTTTAGGTTCAATCGAAAGGGCGGGACTCCCAAGTGGATAGAACTTGTTGGGAGAAGCTCCTTTGCGTAAACGGCTTTGCCCAATTTTTTTACACAAAAAGTTAGGCTCCTCGGAAAAATCAAATGTTTGATTTTTTGTAGCCTTTTATTGACATTTTGTCTTGTCTCAAAAACTACTCTCAAAAATCCGAGATTTTAGGTTCATTCGATCGAATGAGCGGATTGTGGGAAAATATACCTACATTTTTTTTCGCAAAAGTTTATGGCTCTCGGAAAAAAATTTCTTTATCGTTTGACCTTTCTCAAAATGTCTTCCCAAACCTCAGATGTTGGGTTCAATAGAAAAAACGGGATAAGTGAAGGCCCCCTGCATAAACACGCGAAAACCCTCTAACATTTTTCATAAGCTTTTTTGCAACTTTTTTCTTCGAAAACTAACCTGCCAATTCTCAGAATAAGTGGCTTCGCAGTCACGGATTCGATCAAAAGAACAGATTACCGGAAAAGTCTACTACGCTGTCCAATTTCATTTTGAGTTAATTTTTAAGAACGGACAATAGGTTTATTCCTTACAACAGCAGTTAATCTCTAATTTTAGTAGAAACATTTAAGGTTATGCATTTTTGAAAATTTCGAAAATAAAGATTTTCATATCGCATCAATGAAACATTCTAAAAATATCAAACGGACCTTACGCTCGGCTACTATCTTCTAGTAGCCTACTGTAAGGGATTCTAGTGATGGGACGTGGCTGAGTGGGGCAAGGCACTCGTCTATCAACACGAGTATCGAGCGTTCGAATCCCACTTCGGTCACGGTTGGAGGGGGCGCAGTGTCATCCGCCTCTTCAAAGTGAGACCGGCTACCGCGAAATGGATGACATCCCACCTCCCTTTACGGATGTCTTTCTGATAATATCTCCTTGTTTAAATTATGTTTTTCTTTGTAGTTGCTGTTGCGCAGCACTCATGCATTCTCTGAGTGTTTTCAGTTTGTGGTTGTTCTGTTTTTACGGTTCTTAGAACATTCGAAATCTAATAATACAAAAGTTTTTTTTTGTTCTTGGATACAGAGATCGTGTTACGCTTCAGTTCTGATGGCTGAGAAAAACTCCCGAAATATTAAAGGTACTGTCCCTGTTTGAAACGTGTGAACGGTAGTTAAAGGGAAAATCTATTGAGTATAATCCAGTGCTGATTACGCTTTCCCAACCAATAGAGCAAAACTAGTTTTTTCTGGTGGTGTTTTTTTTTCAAAGTGGCTGGTCGGCATAGTTCAAATAGTGATGAACTTTAGAATTTTACCAGAATAAATACGGAGCAATTTGTTTTTGTGAAAATAAAACCCAAATATTTAACCCGTAGTTCTTTCATTTGTCTAGCATGAAATATATAGTCAATTGTTGAGCAAAATACAGCAAAATCAGCCTTGTATGTAGCTCAACAAAGTTATACGAAGAATATAATTTCCAACAATTGCGCAAAAGTTTTTTCGTTTTATTTAAAACGGTGATTTATTTAGTAATTATGTAATTTTTAGTCTGTTCGTTATCATGTTTGTGATTTAAAACTTTTTTTAAAGCTTGAAGCATATACACTTCTTAGAAATTGTTTGGCTACATGAGCAGCTGATTTTGATGACATTTGCAATAAGCAAGGATTACTAATTTTACAGCCTGGTACTATTTTTTTTTGCGGTAAATAGCTTTGTTCATGAGATGACTGAAATTGATGGTCATCTCCTTCTGTACTTTCTTAAACTAACAGACAAATTTTGAGCAAGTCTGGTTTGTATTTGAACGTTTTACTCAAAATAAGTTTTTTGTGCGTTGGCTGTGAATTTACCAACTCCGATTTCGCTACATCATTTTTTTTTGATTTTTTCTCATCTATCGGCTAAAAAGTTTCCGCCTTATAATATATCGTCTAAGCGCTCTATTTTTGATGAGCAAGGAGCGTTTTGGTCTTAATGTTTTGATCTTAATGTTTTGAGGGTACTTGAAAACTTTTTTCAATACAACTTTTTTTGGCTCAAGCGTGTCTGCTCCAGAATTGTCGGCTCCTTTGCTACCGGCATGTGCATGACAATTCAACATTCGATTGTTTTACTTAGCATGTTTCGTTTGAAAAGAATTTTGTTCAAGACGGAGTCAAAGCAAGGATGTTGAATTTTTTCGATCATTTTTTCGATATTTTTCCCAATTTGTCTCGGTTAGTTGGTACTGCTGTTTGTGTTGCATCGAAAGTGTTGCAAATCTTGGCTTCGTCTCAGTGTTTAATTTTTATCGACAATTGACCCGATAGTTCGGCTGAATTCTTAAGTGACTAAAAAGAGCCAAATTGGTCCATTTCGGGGGTGAATATTCATGTCTGAATTTCGCAAAAGAAAACCCATAGCAACCTTGTTCCCATCATTTTTTGTCTATTGTCAACCCTCTTTGAAAAAACTTGTTCTTTGTTTCAATTTTGTTATTTTTATTTAGATAATTTAAATCAGCATCCCCTATTCATGAAAGGCTCTTAACGGTATACAAATTTTATCTAGACAATATAAACCAGCTATTTTTTTTAACCAAATATTGGAAATAAAAATGTTAACAAATCTAATACATTTTACTGCTCAACCAAAAGATATTCTACATGCAAATGATCTGCAATTGGCTATACTTAGAAGTTAACAAGTAGTAATTTGATTTATTTTGTTAAGAAAACTCTTTAAAAATACATAATGTTGAGAGAAATTAGATTCCAAATGAAGTAATAGATATCTAATGCTTCATTTAAACATTTCCTGAAGAATTTTTGGACCAAAATTTACTTAGTAAATTAAGTTTTTTCTCGTCAGAAACAAAAAAGATTTTGTTTGATACGGTTTTTTCCAGTTCGGCTCAGTCTACCAAATGTTTCTTCAACTTATTTGTCCATTTATACATTATCTTCTGAGCCCTGTTTATCTTCACGATTGCATCAAATATCGCTGTGTTGGTACATGTTTTGGAAGCTCTTTTTACGTTCAACGATCTATTTGAAGCACCCTAGGTGCGAGTCATGGGCTAGTCTACCTAAATTGTCGCGCATAAAGCGACCACCATGGCATAGTTCCTTCTCTCTGTTGACAAGTTAGGGGAAAAATCGACCATGTTTATTCCGGGGAAAACAAAACAGCCTTATTTTTAATAGGAACTTTTATTACGCTTTTTTTTGACAAGCTTTGCAGAAGAACTAGTTTTACAAATTTTGTGTCATCGATAAAGTCTAAGGAAATATTTGTAGTTAAATACATTAATTGTTCATGTTTTACATTATAAATGTGTTTTTTTTTGGAAATTAAGTTTATATTAAGAGGTCTGGTAGTTATATCTTGGAAACGAAGTAAGGGCGCCTATAGCATTTTCCGGGAGTGATTTTAATCAAATTCTCATATTGAGTATTAGTTTAAATGGCAAGCTCAACATTCTTTTTCATTTCACCTATTTGACTGTCAAATTAAAGTATGTGAAGTTCTATCAATTAAACAACTTTGTCGTTAACATAGGAAAATTACTGGCCCACTTTTCATCTCAGAACAAATGTTTACATTCATTGTTCAACTTCATTGTTTAAACCTCCGAAAACACCATTATTCATTACAAGAGTTGACGTCCAATTCCATTGAATCCAAGCTTCACTTTTGCAAGATTAGTCGAGCGATGGTCGAAATGTCAATTTTGAACAAAGCTTATAACCTAAAGAGCTTTTTTGATCAATTTTGCTTGAAACGCAGTTTTATTTTTGTTTTACTGTAAATTCATTTTGCAATTTTGTTTGGTGTTATCAATTTTTTGAGAACTTAATTGACTGTTGTTTTAAGCTCATTATCAGGGAGCTAGAAAAAAGTAAATACTTTTTTCCTTTTTTTCTACTTTATTCGCTCGTAATTGAATAATAAAAACAGCAAAAACATAATTTTGCGTTAAATTTCCCAAAAAACAGCAAAATTTAAAAAAAGAGCCATATACTGGAGTTTGTGATGAAAAAATTCAACCAAATTCATTCAAGCGCGTACAAAATCCTGAAAAATGGAAACAAAAATAGAAAATACAAATAAAAAACGTGCAAAAGTCTTGTTTTATGCATTTATAAGTCAAAGTTGAGCGTTTTTGTACTTACTTCTTTTAAAACTTTTTTCGGCTCCCTGCTCTTTATAGTCGATCACAATTTTTGTTACCGTTTCTGCACATCTTGATTGGAAATAGTTTATCAACAAAAATTAATCCCGAGTAAATTGAAACGTGAGTGGTAGTTGCAGGAAATGGTTGCTGTTTTTTTGAAAAATGCTACGTAAAATGCATTTTTTGTAGATTTTGATCCAATTTGTGGCCCGAAAAAAAGCAAATTGATTGAGAACAACCAATATATCTGTTTCTTTAGTACACTATCTGTTGTATTTCATTTCATTTTCTTATTTGGTCGTATTTAAATAATTTCTAATTTATGGCATGCTTGGTTGCTTTCGTTAAGCACCTGCTAAGGATTGAATTATTCAACCGATTCAAAAACCATCAAACAACACTGAAATATTCGTACTGATCAACTATTAGGACTATTTATAACTAACTAACAAACAGTCTTTTTCATTTTTATAACAATGCCTGAAAGGGAAGACTGAAGTTTTGCCAAAGGCTGTATTAAATTTCCGTTGATAGATCAAAGTAAGTTATTTTTACAACGGGGTGAAAGTCTAGTCTTCGATTAAAGTCTGAAACCACTGAAGTTATAAAGTAATACCCTAAACTTTATCTAAACTATAACGAATTGAAAAACAGCCAACCACTTAGAGCCCCTGAATGTCGCAATATTTCATTTACCTTCATGTGAATCTTTTATGAATTGAAAAAAATAACAACTGCCTTTTGAACCCCTGAATGTCGCAATATTTCATTTACCCTATTCTTTACAACACAATTCTTTTACGAATAGAAAAACTGCAACTGCCTTTTGAAACGCTAAAACCGCAACATGAGGATTTCGAACACAAAAGTAGGGTAAGTTTTTCTAGTTAATGCAATTCTAAGTTTCACTTAAAACTACTTTTACACAAGAGAGAGAGAGAGAGAGAGAGAGAGAGAGAGAGAGAGAAAAGGACCACGATACGAGAACCGCTGTTGTGTCAAAGCTTAGTAACTGCGTGAATTCTTGGGTAGTGTTCTGCGCTGGGTATAATTTTCCCCGTCCGTCAACGAGCATCAATTTTGGTTGGTCTCGAACCACAAACCATTCGAATTAGAGGCGGATACTTGAATCATTCCGCATTGCTCTTCAAAAGTTAATAAATGCACTCGTTGAATTTTGTTTAAATTAGTCCAAAAGTGTTGGAAGATATCGTGGAAAACAAAATAAAAATCAAACGCGACATTTTGATAACAATTTAAAACAATAAAAGATCCACCAAATTTTTGGTGATTCTGCAAAAGTTATTGATACTACAAATTTTACAAATAGTTGGTGATAAAAAATTGAACAAACTAAATTTTTTCGCAGTTGAAGTTACCGAAAGGGCACTGATTTGGAAAAAAAATGCATCTGATGATCATGAAATTTACTACAAAAACAAACATTCAAATCAATAACGTTCCATGAAATTTTTTTAGTAATAACATTTTTTTTAAAGTTTAACCCTGCCTTAAGTGAAAACTACTTTTATTTCTTAGCAGAAATATTGAAGAAATTTATCTCCCTGGTAAACGTTAAAATGTCATAACTGTTTCAAATTTTGAGAATGCGTGGGGAATTTGAATGCGTTAACAAAAGAAAACATTTTTGGTGTCTATCAATCATTAAATAGTTTGAAAGAATCAAAAAAAAAAATTTATTGCTGATAACAATTAATAACAATGAAAAAATTTGGCTCCAAAAACAGCATGATGTTGACGCTACCTAAAATTAGGTTGAAAATGAAAATTAAAGCTTAGACAAGAAAGTTTTGTTACATGCTATTGGGTTTTACTTTTCAAAATTGTTTGATAGGTTGTTTTCTTTTTTTGCAATTTTTTTTCTAATGATTAAGGGAGACCAGTCTTTGATATTTGGAGCCATATTTACGCTTGCGATTAGCAAGTGTCAAACAACCGGAATATTGACAACTAGTTTTTGGGTTCACAGCTAGTTTAACAGAATCACTTGAATCATTTTAACTTTGGTTCATGTGAAATCAATTATCGGATGTTAAAGGTTCGATTTATTTTCAGCTTTTTGAAAGCTTTTTTGCACAACTTCTATTGATGCTGGCATTTTTTTCAATAATTTTTTGTCCTATTTTTCAAATTTTTTCTCCTGTTTTTGACAAAGAAAAAACTGTTTTTTGAAGGTTTTTTTTCAAATTTTTATTTGTTGGTTCAATTGCCGATAATCATACTCATACATTTTTGTATCGCTTCGCCTCTGTATAAAATTTAAAAAATACAGTTTGCTAAGTTGATTTACATGAAATCATGAAAAAAGTTTTCTACTTAAAGTTTTGCAAAAACTTCATTTCATGAGAAGATGAGACGTTTGACCGATTTAATTTTCCAATGCATCAATGCTAGCCTTTAAACAACCTAAATTGGCATTTTTGCAACAGTTTTTTTACAGAGCAAAAAGAATTAGCTGCGTCAAAGCATTAAAAACACTTACATGTTGAAAAAAAGCACGATAGGTTCAGGTAACCTATGGATTTTTTTTTACAAAATCTGACATAACCAAGAAAAAGAAAGGTTCAGTTCTGAAAGTAGATCTGAACTAATTTTTATAAGATCTGAAATAATCCAGAAAACCAAAGTTATAAATCTGAAATTAGATCTGAAATAACCCATTCTTAAAATAACCAAGAGTTATTTTAACAAATAACAACCCTTTTCAGAAATGATTTTTAGATCTGAAACAAACTATTTCCATTTCAAATCTGAATTAGAATGTTTGCTACGTATAGGTTACAAAATGTGTATGTTTTTCAAGTTTCTCAGAAAAGTCAGGAAAATCAGCAAAAGTTGTTTTATGTTGTGTTGAATCGCATAAAACGTTCATCCTTTCTTTCAAAGTTTGGAACGATAACTGTGTGTTCACGTAAATTTTGAAGTAGGAAATTTTAAACATTTGGTTCCTTTAAGTATCCTTGTAGTAAAAGGGCGAATTTCTTTACTAGTAAAAAAACTCGCAAATACTCAACCACTGCATGGCCTCTTTTTAAATCCGCATTTTTACTTAGGGGGGGGGGGGGCGGGGATCAACCATATGGTGAATTAGGTTGTAATTTTTTTTTGCAAAAGTGGTCTTAATAATGGGCAAGATATTTTATTGGCTGGATAATCAGTCCGATTGTCTAGCCTTTTTTCTAGTAGTCTAAAAGTTTCAGATTTTTGTTAATTGCTACCATTTCATTGAAGGAATGACAAAGAAATCTGGGAGGAGATAGTTTTTTCACGCAGAATCAGGTATATTAAGTAAACTTCCGATGAGGCGTAGCTAAATATCATATTGAAAATCTTTCAGTCTTGATGTAGTTTCCGAAAAAATATTTCTCACAGGAGATACTGCGAGCGTAATGTTATACGGTTTGTCCGTTTTTCTTAGCGAAAATTTCCCAATTTGTTACGAGTTTAGATTTATTGGAATAATCGTACCTGAACTAAGTTTTTTTACCGCTATGAAGGTACTAATGGTTTGAGCTCAAAAAAATATATAGCTGCTATAGTTTTTTATTGGGTATTAGATGTTTCAGAATTGCTGCTTTGAAATGCTCGCGCTTTTTTAACGTATCTGATTCTCAAAGTGTAAGGACAATTTAGCTGAGCGCGGCAAATCAAGGCAAATTTCGTCTCAATAGAGTATTGATTTCAAAGTAGTCATTTCAAAAAAGTTGTTTTTATTTAAAAATATCATTCTGTCTTTTCTTGATTTTATTTGCTGTTTGTTAGAGGTGTTTTTGCAGGTTTTTTGCTTGTGTTTGCGAAGTGTATTTGAACCATTGTGTAAAAAACTCGTCTCAGTTTCGGGAAAAAAATCATCTGATTATTTCCGTTTTTCAGACTAACTTACCTCGTGGCAAAGAAAGAGAAATATGATTTTACTACAAAACAATACTTTTTGAACCCTCGCCGTTTATCAAGCAAAGACTGCCGTCGTTAGAACATTCTGTGGTACCGCTTCCACAAATTTCAAAATTATTTTGGCCATGGTTTCTTTTTTTTTGCAAAACTAAGGGTTTTGTGAACAACTGCGCCATTTCTCCAAAAAAAAGTGTTTGGTTGAAATTAGTGTATCTATACCCGGATCTACTTAACAAGTAAGAAGACCAACTGAAAACTGTTAAACATAGTCTGTGGATAGCAAGCATACAGATCTAAGAGCAGAATAGATTCCGAAATTCGAGACTTGAGCTGCATCTTCTATGAATGTTTGTGTGTTGGTGTGCTTGATAGAAACCTTATGTAGCAGTCACTGGTCAATTTTCTTCTTATCTTGCAAGGTGTCAAAATGGCCTCAGATTTAAATGTTATGTTGCATGTTTGCATGTGTTTGATAAGAATTTGTCTATTGACGCATGGTATGGTCTTCATGACTTAAACCTATGAACTTAAATCTATACCTATAGATCTTCCCTGTGGATTATTCACGTTCATTTCATTGATCTACCTCAATACTTATATGATATTATGATATTGCAGAAAAATTATTTCGGAAGATTTTTCAAGATTGTCAACTGTATAGATTAGGTCTATTAGTACTACTAAAGAATCTCCACCCCTGTAAATAAAAACAGTTAAATCACACTAGAGCGTTATTTATAAATTCGATTTTTGCTGCATTTTGATTGGTCGAAAATCCGCTGCAAGTAACCTTCTTAACAATCGCCCCTTTCTTGAGGGGGGGGGGGAAGATTGTTTAGTAGATCCCCATACCCTACTTGAGAAAAATAATTTATTGTCCAAGTTATCCATGTTGGCGTTTGAAGATCCTTGAAGCTCTCAAACTTAACTCCTGCGTTCTTGAGTTATAACCGATGTGGTTAACTCATAGAGTAATTTCGGATAGGGTACACCGTCTGCTCGTCACGCTATCTTATTTTCGGCCGGATAGATTCGTGCAACTTCTTAGTCTAATACCGATCCTTATCTTACTCTTATACTTATCTAGTCTCAGGTTGTTTAACTAGTCTCTGCTAGGCTCAATAGATCTAGGGTATACTGGTTTATTGCGGCTGCTGAAGTCTTCTTGGAGAGTCAACTAATTTCTAAGTTAAATTCAAATCTCTCTGGTGCTGAAATTACAAGTAATTTCAGCACTTACAAATAAGTGGATTGTTAGTCAGATGGATCATGATTGGTTAATATTAAATACTTTACATTGGTAAAATATCTAATTTATCCAATCATAAAATATAGTTTAGATCAGGTTCCACCCATCCGGGTTTTACAGAGTTTTTTAGAATAGTTTTTCTGCAATTTGAAGGATGGATGATGGACGTTGGTATTTGGCGAACATCATATTTCTTTTCCGGTTTCCCTTGTTAGAGAAGTTCCAGGACGCTGGAATTAGGGACATCAAACGTTGTGTCTTCTTGTGACAACGACTGTGTTTCCGCAACAAACTCAAATCTGATTTCAGAATGGTTGGCTATGTCAGGTTTTTCTGTTTCATGTAGAGAACTTCTTGTGTTTGACCTTGTCTGGGAATGGCGTGGAGATTGTGCATGGAGGGGATGCCTGGTTACTCGGATCTGTACGTATACTTGAACATCGAGGTGGTCATTGGTCTAGTTCAATGAAGTCCTTTTCTGCGAAGTCAAGTCGTACTCTAAATCCTTTGAGTTGTGATTGTGAGCGGCTTATCGATTGTGGTTGGCCATTCTTTTTCGAGTGTAGTGGGGTCGTTTTGTCTTTGGATGTTCGTCCTTGGCGTTGTATGCTGATCTATATATTGCATAATATAATTTACATTTTATAAAACTTTTATTAGTTTAATGTTTTTTAATAATGATTTTGGTTAGTTGTTTTCACAAAAGCTT